GTTTAAAAAAAAAAAAACATTTTCTCTTAAAAGCCAATGACCCTTTTAGACAGTATGTTGAATTGTTCAAATTAAAAACAGTGAGAACCTGCAGGTTCCCTGACTTTTCTGACTCGTGGGGAGCCTCGTACCATAGAAACACGGCCCCTTAAGAAGCCCCAGGGATTTGCAAGGTCTGGCTGATTCAGGCTCCTTGTTTTTCTGCCAGCCAGGTGCCACCAGCAGTCCTGAGACAGTACATGCTTGGGCAGAGCCTGAGAGTTTTCTGTGATTTGTCAGATGCGGTGCCTTTCCCCACCTGCTTCCTGCCCACTCCCAGTTCGAATCCCATCTGACATGGTGGGAGGAAAGTGTTGGAAGATTCTGGCCACTGTTCTCCCTGGGCAGGAGTGGCTCTCAGTGCTGGAAGCCAGCGATGGGGCCTTGCAGGTGACTCTTGGTGTCCGCCTCTCCTCCTGGTGGCCCTGCTCCCAGCAGGAGCCCAGGTGCCCAGCCTTGCTGCCTGTGTGGACACTGCCTCCCTGTGGGGTCTATAACACCACTCTTCTGAGACTGTGGTTTGTCAGCTGTCAGTGACAGCCGTCTGTCTGTCTGTCTGTCAGGCTGCCATGCAGACAGCAGAGGCAAAGAGCACAGACGGCGAGGGACTGTGCATGAATGACTGGCCTCTTCATCCGTGGGGCACAGACTGAACCGGGAAGGGGTCTGCTTTCCATCTCTCCATCCCAGTGATAATGAGCAGCATTTATCGAGCACCTATGACATGCCAGATGTACTGGTTCCGAGGATATACTAGTCCTCCACGTGTCTTAACTCATTTAATCCTCTTGAGAGCCCTGGGCAGGTCCTGGGACTCAGACAGGTCCTGAGGCTCCTGAGAAGTGGGCCAGGCTCCAAGGTGGCTCTTGGTTTCGAGTTTGTCCTCCATGCTGCCTTGAGCCGCCTGTGTTGGCCCACACCTGACTGGGGTGGGGGTTGGGGTGGCTCTGGGAGGTTTTATTGACTGGGTAAAGGGTGGAGAGTACCGAATGATTGACTGTGCGTATCCCTTGGAGGTGAAAGAATCCATTCTGTTTTCTGCTTTCAAACTTGCAGCACACCCAGCCTGGCTACTGGCTGCTGTCTGCTGGAATGGCGAAAGCGCTTGTGTGGGCCCCACCTAAAATTGCACCGTTGGGGAAGCTTGGTGTTGACAGAGCTATACAGATCCCTGGGTAGGATGGATTATTCACTAAGGGTGGTTGCCCATCAAGGAGGAAAAACTATATTCTTTATTCTTTGATGTCAAAAAGGGATTTTGAATGAATGCACTATTTATTTATTTATTTATTTCTGGCACAGCACGTAGTGGAGGGGAGAGGGGGAGTCAAACCTCGGTCCCTGTGGTTGCCTAAGGTTGCCTAAGCAAGCGCTTTAGACTGCTGAAGAATCTCACTGGCCCTAGATGCACTTCTTTTGGGTTGTATTTTAGGGAAGGATCTACAGGGTGTTCAGGGTCTCACTACTAGATCAGACTCATAATGATCCGCCTGTTTACAGCCTCCCAAGTGCTGAGATTACAGGCATGCACCACCACGCCCAGTCTTAATCACCATCCCTGTGTGCCTGGGAGGTGGGGCCAGCATGGCCAGCGGGGATCAATCCCCCACCCCCCTGCGCCTGCTTGCAGGTGCTTTAATCTGCTGAGCTATTTGGCAAGTGTCTGGATGCACAATGTAAACATAATATGAAACCAAACACTTGGGTTCTGCCTAAAGATTCAACTAACTAGAGAACAAAAAAAAAATTTTAAATCTTTTTGTAGCGAAATGTCTAAATATTCACAAGAAGGGAGAAAGATGAAAAAGTAGAAGTCATGTGAGTTCTGATTAGACCCTGGTCTAAGTAGGTCAGGTTTGCTTTAAAACTTTAAAAAATTCAGGGCCCTTAGAACATTTTGGAAATCAGAACTACAGATAAGGCGTTTGCATATACACACTGAAGTGGTCGTGGGAGAGTGTCCCAGTGTCTGCGCCATACAGGTGAAGGTGTGCTGTGTACCCCGACCTTCCAGTAGAGAGACTCGGTGCTGGTGTGGGACAGCGCCTATTAAGACGTGGCGCACACCTCCTCCTGATGCTGGAAAAGGGCAGCAGGGGTCACTCCCTCCCTGAATGTTTGCAGAGCAGGGGGTGTGGCCTTGTTCAGATGAAAAATAAAGGTATGAGTGCATGAGGAACCAGCCAGAGTGCAGCTGTGCGTTGGCACCAGCTGGGAGAGGCGGAAGCTCGGACACCTGGCCTCACCCTGAACGTTGGCGTTGGGCTGGAGAGCAGGTGAAGCCCATGTCCCTGAGGCTTGGGGCTGCCCAGCAGAGGATTGCCCCTCCACTTCAGGTGGGAAGGGGGCAATGTAGCTTTCTATCTTACTGTGTGCCGTAGGCCTCCTATTTGCATTACTTTTATGTGAAAAAAGATTCAGGAGAACTCTTTTTAAAAAATCTTGATCTTAATCAGATACGATGTGCAGGAGAAACACTTTCAGCCAGTCTGTAGATTCTCATAGAAGGTTAGTGCTTCTGAGGTTGTTCTCCTGTAGTGCAGACTATGCTTGCTGGACTGAAAGCATTTTTTCCCCTTGTGTCCTGAGGAGATCAGAAGCTGGTGAGAAAGGTGTGTGTGGACAGTGGACTGGAGTGTCCCTTGAGCATCAGTCCATCCACGGCCGGGCCTGGCTGCTTTATTGTAGACCACTGGACTAGACTGTTGCTCATGGGTACCCCTAGGCTTCACTCAAGGAGCTGCCCACTAGGAGAAAAAATCCCTTTTGGTGGCGGCATAAGCTGTAGGGTGAGCACAGCTCTTACCAGCTCTCCTGTGTTCTCCTGGTGAGAACTGTGTCCTGCAGGTGAATCCCTGGTGGCTATCCTTCCCTCCACCCCCTTCTTCATCTTCTTGTCCTCTCCCCCTTCTTACTCCTCCCCTTTTGGGTTTAGAACTGGCCCCTCCCCCTTGCCCCGCCCAGCTTGGTGTGTTCAGAAGGTGATTGGGCCCAGGCACTGTTCCCCGCTTGATTCACCCTGCTTGGAGGTGGGGCCAGGTGCCAGAGCCAGCCGCTGAGCTGTGCCTTGGCAGGGTGCATCTCCCTCCCTGGCTCTCTGCTTCCTGCTGCCACCAAGGACGCTTCCCGCTCCAACCCCTTCCCATTCTGCCCTGCTTGGGGCCAGCTGACCGGACTGAAGGGCCAGAGTAAGCCTCTTCTCAGGTTGTGGGTGTTGGCTTCTCAGCTGTGAAAGAGATGATGAAAGCGCTGCCTTCCTCCTCTCTCCCTCTGCTTTTTCCTTCTCCCCCACCCCTTTTTCTAGCCCCACATGTCCCCCTCCCCTGCTTTTTCCCCTCCTCCTGCCTGTGTGCCTGGCCCACAAGGCGTGCTGCCCTCAGGAGCCATTCATCATGATGTGGGCTCCTTTGCACTGGTAAAGCTCAGTTTGGTCTGGCTCAGCTGAAGCCATTGGGAAAAGCAGCTTCCTTGTTCTTGGAGACCAGTGCTTCTGTCCAGCCAGACCGAAGTACAACCTTGGCAGTCTCTGCGTGCCAGCCTTGTGGGACACATTTGCACCTTGCCTGGGGCTCATCCCCATCACTGTGTCCTCTGTTGATTTGGGGAACCCATGCAAGGGCTGTGTGCTCCTTCTGGCCCTGTGTGAAAGCATTCGCACCTTGAACCCTGGGCCAGGCTTGGTCCTGTCACCTCCTGACTTCAGCCACAGCACACTTCTGTCCATGAACCTTGGCAGAGAGGAGGGGACACTTGCTGTCCAGCTTTGCGTGGCAGTGGCTCTGGCTGGGGCTTCAGCAGGTCCTCAGGCTCCCTCCACAGGGTGTGGTGCAGGCTGGAGAGCTGCATTCCTGTCTGAGGTTAGAAACCCTGCCTTGTCAGGATGGCTTCTGTAGGGAACACAGAGTGCTCTTCTGACACAATGCTTGCTCTTGCTGTTTATATGCACAATTAATTCTTATTTATTTTATTTTATGTTTAGGTATTTAGTACAGGGTCTACAGGATCTCACTACACTACACAGCTCGGACTTATAGTGATTCTCCTGTTTCCAGCCTCCTAAGCACTGGGATTACAGGCGTGCGCCACCATGCCCAGTCTGGGTGAGGCCGGCACAGCACGCAGGGGATTGAACCCCAGTCGCTGAGCCTGCCTAAACAGGCGCTTTAGTCTGCTGAGCTATCTGGCTGGCCCTCATGATTAATTCTTAAACTTTACTGGGGAGGCAGTTCTACTCACAGCACTGTGTGCCTGAGGGATATGCAGAAGAGAAGTGGGGTTGAGTTGTTTGGAGTGGGTGCGTGCTGGGCAGCGGGCCCATATATCTTGGGGTTGCTTCCAGGACGATGCCTGTCTGGGAAACAAGGGTAGTTTGTGGGTGATGCTGCAGAAGCTGATGCCCTTGTTTTCTCTGGCAGGTCCACGGCCTGGTTTTAAGATGATGGGCTTGGGGAATGGGCGTCGAAACATGAAGTCCCCACCCCTCGTGCTGGCTGCCCTGGTGGCCTGCGTCATTGTCTTGGGCTTCAACTACTGGATGGCCAGCTCTCGGAATGTGGATCTCCAGGTATTTTGTCAGAGTGTGTGCCTGCACTCTGAGGGTGCTGCATTGGGAGCTCAGGACATGTGGGTTGCTGACCACCCCGAGGTACCCAGAGGACTGCTTCAGAGCCTCTCTGTTCTTCAGCAGAGCATTCAGTTGTTCTGGAAGGCAGCGGGCTGAGGTGCATGGAGCGCACCCCAGTGCTTAAGCCCACAGGAGGTAGCAGAGAGCACTGCTGGTGGTGTTTTGAGTGATAGGGCGAGGAATATGCTTCTGAGAGTCCCAGGCTTTACTGCCATCATTTGATGGTAGTAGTACCTTAGCTTCCCACACATTGTGGCATCACGGGCAGGGGCTCCGCTGAGCAGTGACAAAGACCTCCTTGGCTGAGTCTGGGCCTTACACAGCTCTGGCTTGTTCTGCCCAGTGCAGGTTAGCAAACAGCATGCCTGCCCTTCTCCCAGCTTCGTATTGGATCTGGTTCCTCACACCTCTTCCTTGAGGTGGAGGCCTCCATGTGAGTGAGAACCCCCACTTTTTACATGCCCTGGTCATTGTCCACCCTCCGACTCCTTCCCTCGGCTGCAGTGGCTCTTGCTGGGCTGAGCGCCTCACAGTTGGGCCCCCATTTCAGGGTCATGGCTCTAGCCGACATCAGCTGCTGACGTCTCACTTCCCACTGGACAGTGTTAAAATAGCTGTTTTCTGTCCACACTGTTCACAGATGTCTCCTTTGACCCAAACCCTGCAGAGCTGGGCTTTCCTGTTCCCCTCGCATCGGGCAGCAGATAGGTGAGGTGCAGGTTCCAGCCTCTGCTGTCACTTGCCTCACCTGCCAGGGCTGTGGGCTGTGACTGAGCCATACTAGAGCCCCTGTTTTCTGGGCAGATGAGGCCTTGGTGTCTGAAGTTGGAGAATTTGAGCTTTCTGAAATTCTGTCTGACGAAAGAATGAAGTGATGAAACAGGTGGTGGCACATGACTGTGATCTCAGTAACCAAGAGGCTGAGGCAGGAGAGTTGCAAGTGCAGTGCCAGTGTGGGCACCTTTTTTTTTTTTTGCAGAACTGGGGATTGAACTCAGGCCCTTGCACTTGCCAGGCAAGCGCTTATTCTACTGAGCTATCTCCCCGGCCCCTAGCTTGGGCATCTTAACAAGATATGTGTTTCGGAAAGATGAAAAATTGCTTCATGAGTGGGGGAAGAGGAACTAGCTTGGGTAGTAGTACCTTAGCTTCCCACACATTGTGGCATCATGGGCAGGGCCAGGCAATGCATGGAATATTCTAGTATACATGCCCTGAGCTGGGGGGAAGAAGTGTGTTTCCACTTTGCAGTGTGCATGCAAGCCCAGGGAAGTGTGTTGCCCTGCCTGGAGCAGTGTTTCTCCAACAACGCCTGCCTGGCTTCTCCAGACTGAGGCAGGCCTGGAGCTGGGTTTGGGCTGGGTGCCCACGTGCCCTGCATCAGACTCACTGCCCTGTCTGGGGAAGGCTGCTCGGCCTCACTCTGTGATCACCTTGTAGACACAGATCCTGGAGCTGGAAGGCCGGGTGCGCAGGGCAGCCGCCGAGAGAGGCGCCGTGGAGCTGAAGAAGAATGAATTCCAGGGAGAGCTGGAGAAGCAGAGGGAGCAGCTGGACAGGATTCAGTCCAGCCACAGCTTCCAGCTGGAGAGTGTCAACAAGCTGTACCAGGACGAGAAGGTGAGTGCCGCCCCCCCCCCCCCCTGCTGAGTGACAGCCCACCTGGCCAAATGCGGGCTGTAGGTGTGTGCAAGTCCGTGAGTGTGGTGCAACTGTGACTGTCTTCTTGTTGGTCTCTGGCTGGGCTCCTTAGGAGGGCTTGGTGCTGGTGGTGGGTGGCAGAAACTCAGCAGTGCCCAGGAGCACTGGATGCTTCATTCTCTGTGATTCTGGGAATGAGCCCAGGGCACTCTGCCACTGAGCTACTTCCGGGTGCTTTTCACTTTTGCATTTTGAGACAGTCTTGCTAAATTGGCCAGGCTATGCTTGGACTTTTGACCCTCCTGCCTCTGCCTCCTGGGCAGGTGGGATTGTATACCTATACCATCATGTGTGGCTCTGTTTTTATTTTTAAGTGTTGTTTTCTTTTTGAGATAGTATACTAATGTATGCCTTTGTGTGTATATGGTTGTCATTGTTTGGTACTTGGTCATTGTGCCAGCTTGCCAGGTGCATCTGCAGTTTTACTGGGGTGTAAAACCCCAGACTGGGAACCATGAACTGTCAGTGTGTACACCCAAGTGCCTGGGGATTTTGTGTATGGCATGAAAGTGTGGCTGCCTGCCACGGGTGGAAGGAGAACGCATGGATGGAGAGGGCTGCTACCCACGCGTGGCATAACCCTGCTGTGGGCACATCCTTCACCTGGGGTGTGGCTTGAGCTCCAGGCCCCACAAACAGCAATGGACAGTGGCTTCCCGCTGCCTGGGGCCAGCGTTTGTGGAGCTCACTGCCGTGCAGCCAGGAATGGCTGCTTTGGGTGGTTCCAGTGCAGCAAATCTGTGCAGTGTGCTGTAGAGATAAGACTGCCACGTGGAACTGTTCAACTCTGATTCACTAGCTGGCCTTTAGAAAAAACCTGCTTGGAAGCAGGGCATGCTGGAATATGCCTATAACCCAGCAGGACGAGGCAGGAGGATTGCAAGTTGAAGCCCAGCCAGAGCAACTTAGTGGTACAGCAGGACTCTGTCTCAAAATATAAAGGATTGAGGATGTAGCTGTGGCTTTAAAAAAAAACAATCTGTGTAGGAGCTTCTCAGGCCACTCAGTGAAAGAGTACATTCAGGGTATGGGGGAGGCCCAGGATTTGCTCCTGGCCCCAAAAAAGAAAGGAAGAAAAAGAAAAGAAGCCCACCTATAGGATGAATTTAAGAGGTGACTGCTTCTGTTATGTGGCTTTTATTTTTTGAGACAGGACTTGGTCTTTCCTCAGTCTGGCCTCGAACTGGTCATCTTCCTGCTTCAGCCTCCCATGTGCTGACTTCAGGCCTGTGCCACCACTCCCAGTTCTGTGCTTTGGGTTTCCAAAAGTGAGAGTAAGCATAGAAACTGCTTACATGGGATCTCCCGGAGAGGAAGCTTCAGGAGTTACAGGAAACATTATAGACCAGTGTTCGAAAAGCCGCGGTTAGCAAGGCAGAGCAGCCGCCCTTCTGCAGGAGCAGCCTCAAGCCAGGAGAGCGTTCACAGAGCCCTCGGTCTGTGGGGCACAGCGCTGCCTCTGTGGGTGGGACTCGTCCCATCTCACCGCTAATTTGTCAGATTGTTTTTGTTTGAAAGGAAGCGTAGCAGGTCCCAGCCCACTCTAACTTGTGTGTTGTGTCCCAAACAGTGAGTACTGGGATGAAATGTCCCATCAGGATATGTGGGTTCCACATGAGACAAGTACAAGGTCTAACCACACAGGTCTCAAGTTCTTTTCCTGACAGGGTGCAGCGGGGTTCCAAATATGTCAGTTGCTTAAATTCTCTGGTCCTGTTACCTCACTTGTAAAGTTGAAATCATAATGGAAGCCACCAACCTCTAGGGTGCCCAGGATGGTTCGATAAAGCGCTGTTTCTCAAAGCTTCAGCACAGTGCCTGACAGGAGTGAGAGCTGGTCACTATGCGGATGCTACAGTGGTCCTCACAGTGTGGGTGGCAGCAGAGGCCGTGGAGGCGGCAATTGTAGCACAGCAACTGTGCCACCCTTCCCATATACACCCCCAGGACCAGGACATTGTAGACTCCGTGACCAGGACAGCCTGCTTCCTGGTTTGGAGGTGCCACCTCCTGCCCGGTGTCCCTGCAGGGCAGAAGGAGACAAGGCCACTCTCTGGAGTGTCTTTTTAAGGTGCTTACCAGCCCACCCCCTTGCCTGGCTTCTCTGCACTCAGCATTGTCACTGCTGCCACTTGTCCTGTGGAAGCCAGCTTTCCACATGGTGTCATAAATAGCTGAGGTGCTGGGCTGACAGAGAAAGGGGTTACCTTGGCTCACTGCTTGGCGGGGTTCAGACAGGGTCTGTGGGCTTGTCCTTGCTGGGCTTTGATGCAGCCACACAGTGCAGAGGGCAGATGTGCTGGAACAGAACTGTTCCTGGCTAGGAAGAAAAAAGGAAGGAGGGAGGGAAGAAGGAAGGCGGGGGGAGAATTGGAGAGAAAGGAGAAGAATGGGAAGAAAGGATCAAGTTATATCATGTATCGGTACAAATTCCCTGTGATGAATGTGATCATTATGTACATCAAAAATGCACGGATAAAATTAACACACACACACACACACACACACACACACCCCAAGAAGGGAAGGGGAGGGAGGGGAGAAGGCCAGGCCCTACCCTGATGACCTGACAACTTCCCAGCAGGAATTCCCTAGGGGTTCCACCACTTCCTGATAATGCCATCCTGGAGACCAAGTCTTTAACACATGACCTTAGGGGGTACAAGGTCCAAGCTACAGCAGGTCTTAACATCTGAACTCTGAGGAGACACGGATATTTAGACATAGTGCCTTTTTTTTTTTTTTATTTTTTTTATTTTTTTTAGGTAGGGTCTCACTATATAGTCTAGGCTGGCCTTGAACTTGTGACAGTCCTGCTTTGGCCTCCTGAGTGCTGGTACTGTGGGTATGTACCACCATGCCTGGTGGTGACTTCTTTTTGCTTCCCACATTGAAACCATAAAACCAAATTGCACTGAAAGGAGAGGGGAAGGTGGGAACAGGGAAGCTGGCTGTGGGTACACACGCCGCAGAGGAGGTGGAGGTGGCGGCTCTGATGTGCCCTTTCATAGTAGGATGACGTGGATAAGTTTCCAGGCGGCTGAGAGCATTTCTTTTCCACTGTTCACACCATAAAGAAATAACAGGTAATTTGAGGCAGCACGTGCATCTCATCTGGTGTAGCTACCGTATGCTGCACCTGTGCTGGAAGATCACTTGGCACCCCATCAAAACGTACAGTGTTGGGCCTGGCGAGATAGCTCAGTGGACTAAAGCACCTGCTTAGGCAAACACAGGGAGCACAAGGACTGCCAGCACCACATGTTGCGCCAGCCCTGCCCCCATGGGGGGCTGCGTGGGCCACAGAGTCCCTGCTTGGCGACATAGGCCTGTAATCCCAGCACAAGGGAGGCTGAATACAGGAGCATCACTGTGAGTTTGAACTGCGTAGTGAGACCCTGTAACAACCAAATACATTTAAAAGTAGTTTTTATGACTTTACATATTAAAGAGTTAATACAAATCTTAAAAAATAAAAATTGAAAAATAACAGGAAGAAAAGGATTAGGAAGCTGTCTAAGAAGACAGAAGCTAGTGCAGATCACACAGCTGACCTGGAGAAGAGACCCGGTGTGAGCACAGCTGTGAGGGCCGCGCGCAGGTGGAGGGTCTGCTTGCGGACAAGGTCTCTGTCCATCTGCCTCAGCATCACTTCTTGTAGCCCTTGCCACGGCCTCACAGGCTCGGGGGCCTCGAATCACAGGTGTGGGGGCTCAGGCTCAGGGCGGGAAGCTGGCGGCCAGGAGACCTGCCCGTGGAAGGCCGGGCATGGTTCTGCCTCTGCTGGGGATGACCTCCGGCTGCTTACACTGCCTGTTTGCCTTGAGACGGTAAAGCCTTTTCAAAACAGAAGCTTACGGAACATCATCGTCATCATCTGTATATCTTCCTGCTTTCAGAGACTTCTATATTCCAGCTGGCTCTTGTTGGACTGTTTTGCAGTCTTAGGTGAAAAACAGTGAGTTATTTCCTCCCCTCAAATACGTAAGCATCATGATATCGTCTCTCCTTTCCTTAATTTTAGAAAAGTTCCCACTTGTGACCTGAATTGGGATGAGGCTCCCTTTTGTCACTTAAATACCCATACAGTGGCCTGATACAGGTTATAGCTCACCTGAAGTGCCTGGAACTAGGAGCGTTTCAGCTCTTAGATTTCATGGACTTCATAATGTTTGCACATGTGTCACGTGCTGTCATGCGGATGGGACCCAAGTCTGAGAGCCAGATTCATTTGTGTTTCAGGTAGACCTTCCACATCCAGCATGAACGTGATCTCTTGTGGTGGTTTTGGAGCACCTTTGCTTTCACTGCGTGAAGTTGGGTGTGGGATTTTTATGGATGCTCAAAAGTCTTTGGATTTTGGAGTACCTCAGGTGTTGGGTTTTAGACTCCGGATATGCAGTCCTGAGTGACTGGCAGCCAGGAAGGAGGTTGTGTGGTGGGCGGCCAGGCCTGCAGCCAGGCGCATTTGCGAACTTTGCAGGACATCAAGATTTCCTGCCTTCTCCAGCACACCACGTCTTGGGCATTCACTGTTACTCTTGGTGGGTTTTATATCCAAATGAGGGCCCAGACAGAAGCTTGGAAACCAAACCTATCAGAAAATGTGGTGAAAAGACAGACCCTTCTTCCTGGTTACCACTTCAGGTCAGCCTTGTGTGACAGAATTCTCTTTAATGATTGACACGTTCTCTGTGCCCCATGCTGCTTAGCCACTAGTCATCACATGAGGCTACTGAATACCTGGGCTGTGGATGGTAGGCCTGAGGAGGCCAAATTTAATTTTTTAAAGATTTAGGTATTCGCTTTTTTATTTTTAAATTTTTAATCTTTATGTATTTATGAACTTGGTACAGGGTCTCACTACACACCTCAGACTCATAGTGATCCCCGTCTCAGCCTCCCAGCACTGGGATTAC